ATGGACAAAAACTTTATATTTTATAAAAACAGAACAGTCTGAGCAGTGAGCTACCAGAACTTTTTATGTAATTTTACATTTTTATCATGTAGAAAAACTGAGCTGTGCTGTTGAAATTGAACATTTATTGATCTTGTATTAAGATATCTCAGAGATTAAATGTGTACTTAAATGTCTTTACACTGACAGGGTTTCACTTCACTTAAGATCAAAGTGGGCTGTATGTGGTTGACATGCTAGCTATACATTATTATTAGCACTACTGTGTGAAGCATGTCACCCACCCACTTTTAAAATAACGACCTGACATTATGCTTGACAGGTTGAGATGCTAGGTGGGTGTATAAAAGCCTGCTTTGGAGTGGCTTTCTTCATTTCTGTGCCTGCTTCTAAGTTCAGGTCCTCTTCCACTTTTCTAGCCCGTGGAGTGCCACAGGGTTCTATTTTGGGGCCTTTACTATTTCTGTTATATTCACTCTTAGACTATTAAAAGTCAGATGGATGACAATTTTCTCTAACTAAATGAGGAAAAAAGTTGTCTTGCTTGTGCTCTGGAAGATTTGTGTCTAAGATAAAGAAAACTCTAGGTCCCCTTCCCACTTTTGCTGAATCTTTAGTAGGATGTCTTGATTCAGACATCACTTTGGATGCTCATGTTACATATCTAAGTACTCTAAGTACTCACACCATTGCTAATTCAGTTGCATGGGCTCACCATTAACTTCATAGTCCACTTTAAGACTCTGGTTTAGACTTTTAGAGCTCTGAATAGGTGAGCACAAGCATCACAACATCAGTGAACTTTTACATACATATGTCCCTAGCAGGCCCCATTAGGTCTGGTGTCTATATAGCACCAAAGGCTAAGGTTACCTCCAGTCTCTTGAACTCTCTCCCACTGAGCCTGAAAAAGCACCTTTCATTTAGGTAACCTTTTGTCTTTCTCTTTTTGCATTTTCATATGGAGCACGTTGTCATATTTCTATAGAAATATGTAATAGAAATGTATTTTTACTAACTAAACTCATGGTGTAGGCTATAGTGCACACCATGTGAAACCAAGCCTGATTTCAGTATGGCCATTAAGCTTAGGATCAGCACTTTTTCAAAGTGAGTAATTCAAACCACGCAGCATCACTCATGACTAACATCCCTCAACATAAATCTTAAATTGAGACAATGACATCAGACTTGAAAGGCCTCTTGGGATCATATTTGGCATCATATGAATATAACAGGGGATCTGGAGGTGGCAGAGAACTAAAGTCACCGGAAAACTGAAAGAGGATGTAAAACACAGACTCTTTCCTTCTTATGCAGATTTTGTCACTGTTTCAAACCCATTTGCATTAAGCATCTAATTTTGCCATAGCTGGTGGTTCAAGGTGTCTATGAAAAGCACACTCTGTGCATATCTCTCAGAAACAATAAAAATTTGTTACTTTGTAGCTTTGACAAAACAGCCTGTGAGGTAAAAAGTTCAGTTATTTTTATTCTAACGCGCAAGAGTCTTTAAAACTCCCAGCGCAATTTAAATTAATTAGCTAACACTTTAATATTTTATTAAACCATTGGTTATCTACAGATAACACGATTTCTTTGCTCTGTATGGTTACCAGGCAATGGGTGCATTATAAAACTGCAGGTTTAGATTTGAGATGACATG